CCCCCCCCCGCTTGCTGCCCCCCCCCCCCCCCCCGTTTGTAACTAGGGATCCGACGTAAGTCGGATTGATGTAACCCGGGGACTGCCTGTACTCCATTTACACATATGTATTAACTGCAGTTGCCACAGGGATGTTATGTGACTGAGAACAGAGGTGGAGGCAGTTGTGAACGGGAGGAGAGGTGGTCTATATGCTTGAGAATTCGAAGGGAGATGTCCAGGAGACAATCTCTATCTTAAACATCTACCCCACATTTTGAAAGTTTCAGAGCCACACCCGGGAGAGGGGGGTCAATGCACCAGCTTTCCACATCTGGAGGTCAGGCTTCCAATCTGCAGGAAGGTAACAAGTGATTGCTTTTCCCTAGTTTCCTCCCATTCGCTCACATAATGAACATGGGGCAATTTGAAAGGATGGGCAGCCTCTGCTCAAGGGTGGGACAGGACAGAACAGAAAGGAAAAACCTCCTCACAGGAAGATTGCACAGTGCGCTGGCAAAGCTTGGTGGGGAAGGCTGACTAATATAGTCTAGTATTACAGAAGTCTCAAACGAGAGGCTAGTTAGTTCCTCACTTACATGGGCCAAAAATTCACTCATTTTACAAAATAGCAAATATGGGAAGGAAGATCTGCCTTTTTCATTACAGAACAGCTTCAGATTTTAACAGTCTCAATGCAGCGGCTCCACAGATTGTCTGCGATGAACCCAAAATGCTTTCAAATACCTCGCCTACGTTCAGTCAATCTGTGAAAGCAAAAGTAACTTCGCATCTGCAGTGAACTATTCCTCCTAACCTGTGGAGATTGTGCACAAAGCAATTGTCAGAGCCCTTCTCTTTGGATTAGGCACAAAGGAAACTGGTTAACATTCTTCTAGCCACATGCTGTTCTATTAAAGGTAAAAAGCTATTGGCAGATAATCAAAGTATTCCTGCCTTTGCCTCGAAATAATAAAAAGCAACGTAAGGCAACTGCATGTTCACAGTACAGTTCACATTATTCTGTCATTTATCACTGTAAAATGTTTGTAAATAGGTGGCGCTCTCTCATTCTTAGCACTGAACAGATGCCCTAGGCTGCTGTCCTTTGGATAAGATGTAAACCCAAGGTTGGGGTATCAAAGATTTCACAGTATTTTTCACAAGAGAAGACGGTTAACCCCGCTAAGTTGGCAAATGGCAGAACATTGATTACACTACCCGCCATCCTGCAAACTTGGTTTGTACACAATACTCTTGCCACAGAGAGGGATATTCGAGAGCATGAAGTGACTCAGGAGAGTAAGTCCCAATAAAAGCCAGGGAAGTGGTAAGAAGTAAATACCAATGCAAGTTAATGGGACACACACACCTAACTCACCCGGGCATTTCTGAAAATCCTACCCTTTCTGTCCTCAGCTACTTTGTAATGCTGCTCCATTCCATCCCAAAGCTGGACTTTGGTGCTCAGTAAAGCTATACAGAGTACAGTCTGCATACGCAGTAGAGTCTGCAGATTATTTTATTAATTTTGTAAAGTACTTTAGCATGGGTCAGGCTGAATGGTATTGTTTGACCCGGGGGACAGGGCACTAGACTGGGAACCCAGACTGCTCCATTCTGTCCTCCCAGGCTGCAACCAAATAGGTGACCTTAGACAAGTCACATCACCCTCTTTGTGCCTTGTTCCCATTCCTACCATTTGTCTGTCCTATTTGGGTGTATGCTCCGCAGGGCAGTGACAGGCTCTCAGTGTGTTTGTACAGCGCTTACTACTCGAGGCCCCAGTCTTAAATCAGGTTTCTAATTGCTAATGCAGTACAAGTAAGATAATAATAAGGAGCAGGGAAATACTTGCAAGTATCTCAGAAGCAAAACCACAAGAAATCACATCCACAAAGAAACTCCTCTATCCAAATTATTTAAATAGTAGTTTGCATGTTGACAGCATTGCTTCACTCAGTCACTCTAGACCAGGGGTCTCCAAACTTTTCAGCCCGAGGGCCGCATTAACTATCAAACAGCAGTTCGGGGGCCGACTACACACTTGAGGTCCAAATAAAAAACAATCAAAACATGGATGTTGTTTTTAATTATTTATTTAATATTATTTTATTCAGTTATTATTTAATAACACATTCATACACTACACATGAACACCTGTATTAGTGTGAATGGTGAAATTGTTTCCTGGATGCCAAAATAGCAGACATTTCTGGCTTTAGATTTGTTGTCCCTAACATCAACAGTGACCTGAGATTATCATCGGACAAGTTTGTTCTCAAATTGCACGTAAAGTTCCGTAATTTTTTTTCCGTAGACAAAAAGGTCTCCACAGGCCGGATGAGAGGGCCTCGCGGGCTGCATCCGGCCCGCGGGCCGTAGTTTGGAGACCCCTGCTCTAGACCATGGGTTCCCAAAATGGGGGGGAGGGATGAAGAAATTCCATGGGGGGGGCACGTGAGGCGACCCAGCCCCCCCATCAAGTTTTGCTGCCCTGCTCAGTTCCTTTTCTTTTGGCTCAACAAGTTTTTTTTTTTTTGTGGGGAAGGGGGGGTTTCAAAAATCAGAAAGGGGGGGGGCGTGATGCTGAAAAGTTTGGGAACCATTTCGACAGTAAGAATCTCCCAGTATCTTACCCCAAGATGTGTTTTAGGTGGTTGGGGAGTTGTTTTGAAGGACTTAAGTTGGAGAATCAAATAGTTTTTACTAAATGATTCTTCAGATTAAAAATAAACGACACCCCAAAACCAAATAACTCGATTGAAAGTTTTCTGCTCCCAAGCAAGCTCAGAGAGCACGAATGGGATGGATTGTACTACTCTCTATGCCTGAGGGAGAAAACGGTTACTCACCTCTCGTAACTGTTGTTCTTCGAGACGTGTTGCTCATGTCCATTTGAAAGAGGTGTGCGCGTGCCACATGCATGGATTCCAGATCCTTTTTCCCCAGCGGTACCTGTCGGGCCAGCCAGGAAGCCCCCTGGAGTGGTGCTGACATATTGGTGCATATATACGTTCCTTCTTACCGGAACTCTCCGATGAAGGGAAGGTGGATGGGATTTCAAATGGACATGAGCAACACATCTCGAAGAGAAGTTATGAGAAGTTACCATTTTTTCTTTGAGTGCTTGCTCACATCCATTCAAATCAGCTGACTCCCTAGCTAAAACCTGGGAAGTGGAGTCAGAGAATACAGACTCCTTTAATCTATAATGGATTGCAACACTGCCCTATCCCGATGAAGGGAAGGTGGATGGGATTTCAAATGGACATGAGCAACACATCTCGAAGAGAAGTTATGAGAAGTTACCATTTTTTCTTTGAGTGCTTGCTCACATCCATTCAAATCAGCTGACTCCCTAGCTAAAACCTGGGAAGTGGAGTCAGAGAATACAGACTCCTTTAATCTATAATGGATTGCAACACTGCCCTATCAAGGGACGCATCACCCCTGGCCTGCTAAGCGATAGTGTCATGGCTTGAGGAAGTATGCACAGAGGACCATATGGCTGCCCTGCAAATGTCCAGTGTGGGTACTTGGGCTACAAAGACTGCCGAGGAGGCCTGTGCCCTAGTGGAGCGTGCCATAATGTGAGG